CATCTTCCCTGCAACGCGCGCCAAGCAGCGTCATTATCATCTTCTCTGCAACGCGCGCCAAGCAGCTTCACCATCATCTCCCCTGCAAAGCACGCCAAGCAGCGTCATTGTCATCTTCCCTGCAACTCGCACCAAGCAGCTTCACCATCATCTTCCCTGCAACGCGCGCCAAGCAGCTACACCATCATCTCCCCTGCAAAGCACGCCAAGAAGCTTCGTTGTCATCTTCCCTGCAACGCGCGCCAAGCAGCTTCACCATCATCTTCCCTGCAAAGCACGCCAAGAAGCTTCATTGTCATCTTCTCTGCAACTCGCGCCAAGCAGCTTCACCATCATCTTTCTTGCAACGCACGCCAAGCAGCTTCCCCATAGGCAGATCATCATAGGCACGGTGCCGATTGGCGGGGATCATCCTCTCTAGTAGGGTAAGGATTGCCACCATGGAGATGCTGGGGACCGACCTTTCTAACAGGGAGAGGTTTAACGGGAGATGTAGGGCTTCCGTGACAGAGTAGAAATTGATAACAAAAATAATTACAATTGATTGTAAAGAGGACACTGGGGATTGGTCCCATTAAGAAAATTTTGTCCCTTGCTGGAAAAGGAATTGTTTGTTCCTGTTATGGACACAATCCATACACACGAGTCGAAATAAATATATGACGCTTCTATCGGATGAAAGGGAGTTGAATAAGCTCACTTTTTGGCAATGTGTGGTGGGAAATCGCATTCAACGAAGTTACTCATCGATGGTTTAGTTTTAACATCTATCTCAAAATTTCGCTTTGAAATAATAATGAGCTCAAAGGTTATGACACGAATTAAACAAATTTGTTACAATGTCGAATATTGGTCGCATGTTTATTAGCTGGTAATGAAAACGTTCCAACGTTTTTTCTTTCCTGGATATTCACAAAATAGATAATAGATATGCCCCTTATTGATTGCAACCCAACGTGCACTGGTGTTTGGCGATACGCCTGAATGCATGTTTGATTGGGCGCGGTCAAAGACAATTACTGCAGTATTCTTCATGTTCCAGCAGACAGCTGGAATGATCGAAGGAAACCAAAGGCGGCTCATCAGGTGAATAAAATGAAGTGTCACTTCACCTGCAAGGAACCACGTAAATGTGGCAAATAGAATGACGTAACTTTCCATTAACTACTGCTTTTGAAACCTGTTGCTGTTATCCCTCGTTGTTTCTTCGAGGATTACCTTATCGAGCTTTCGCAACCATGACAATTTGCTGGGACGTAAAGTCGATGAGTTATAGGGCAAAATGTTACAGGCAAGAATGGTCCCGATACGAGCTCGGCATAATCAACATCACCTACAGAGGCGGTGTTGTCATAATGCACTACAGATTGCTGCAACGCCGAGAATGTGTTGCTGAGAGTTAATACTCCTGTCACAAGATGTCTCTAGTGACTTTTTTATTTATTCCCACTGGGATGATCAATATGCATACTTTAGATGAACATAGTTTCCTAGTACCCAGTTCTTAGTTTGAAATAAGCATGTTAAGAATAATGTCCAAAATTGGCTATTTCCTGAAACAGCCGATAATCTTCGAAGAAGTAACAGCTTCAAAGCATACTTCAGTCTTAAGCCAGATGAAATGCGTATTAACTAAACACAGGGTCGCTAGGATATGTTAAATAAATACGTTACAATGTCGAGGAATCGCTGATAATCGCGATAGGCGTAGATGAAAATGCAGATGGTCATTCCCTGAGACAAAAAGCCTGTAATTTCGATTTCCTCTGCCCCATTTGAAACTTTCTATTCACACTGTTCCATCTAACATAATCTCACTTCACTATATTTCACTATAACTTCATCTCAGTTGACACTTCGCCATTCGTTTTGTGCATTGTGTTGGTGATCTCCGGGTGTTGCAATTTACATTTTAAAAACTTGAATCTGTGCAACGCGTAATTTCCAGCGCATATTTGTCATTAGACTTCTTGCGAACAAAAGACACCTCGCATTTGCACAACTATCGTACTTTAATCAGCAACCTGCCGTTAATGCCAACATTAGTTGGATGAAATCTGAAATTATCCATTAATCATCATTTATACACCTTTATCAACGCCATTTGACAAAGGTACGAATTACTCTGCTACTTGTAATATTAGCCATATTTCGGTCTTTCGGCGCAACATATTTTTTACATAATAATCACATTAAAAATCATCTTAAAAGGATTCAGAACGTTTTTAGAAATCAGGACTCGTATTTTTCTAAAAGTTCATGGTATAAGATGTATAATTGTGAAAAACACTTCAACGCAATGACTGCTCGTGAGCCGCCATTGGAGGAAACTATGGTCGGTGAAGCCGACCTCTAGAATTCCTTCCCAGGCAGTTTCTTCATCCCAGCAGATCAAATGGTCTCGGAAAATCCATCGTCATTGCAAACTGAACTATAGACCTCCCAGTCTACGAAGCGAAGTGGATTTGTACGTTATCACTTCACGTCACTTCAGAATTCAAGTTATCTGCATGCGTGAATTTCTCTTGCGTTTTATAATTGGAAGCCTTTAGCAAAGGAATTCACTATCCAGGAAAAAAAACAAAATTTTGTCGGTCTCTGACATTTGTACACCAACGCGTTTTATTTCATTTTCGGTATTGCTGACTCCATAGACGGATCACAAACTTGCTCTTTCACTGATCCACATTTCATCTATTCCGAGTACCAACCCAGTACTATCATATGATTGCTCCTGCCAATCCATGATTTTTTTCAACAGTGGCAGTAATCAGGAATGTTCTTGAAATGGAATTATCCTGTACCGGAATGTTTGACTTCATGTAACAGCAGGCACCAAAATCCCCAAAAGCAGTACAGCAGACGACCAAAAACAGCCGGATCGGGATTTCTTGCCATTAGTGTATCCTTGGTGGTAACAATCAAGTGTTATTCTAAATTACGCCTGTTCATGTAATAACATAAATTATACATTTATATATATATATATATATATATATATATATATATATATATATATATATATTAGGGGTTTGTAATTAATTTTGACACAAACACACCTAACTAGTTGATAAAAAATCGTAAACACTGAGCGTTTCTATTGCGAGCTGTGTACTTCAGTGACATGGCTTTCGTGTTTATGAAAGTTGATCATTTCGTCCACACAATGGTAACCAAGACGGATTTTCCCGTACGAACTAAATATTAGATATGAAAAGAAGAATATATTCGATTTTATCACCGATTGACTTTGATAAGGCAATTGGCCTATCTTATTACAATAAGGTAAAAGGATCAAATGACGGTATTCATAATTTTGTTGAAGATCATATAAAATAATTCCTTCGAGTTCATACGAAAAATGAAAGTCTTAAAAAAAATTAATCTCTGCAAGCAGGAGAGTCTACATTAGGTTACTTCCGATAACAATTTTTTGAATTACATCATACCGGAAGTATGTTGATCTGCCTAAATTAATAATAATAACTAATAACTAAAATAAATTACATGTTTTATTTTTTAAATTCCTGTGGATGTTTCCACATATATTCCAAAACTTATTTAATTTATGGTCCAAGTCTTTATCTGAGTATATCTTTTACACAAGTCACATAGCGTACCAAGTATTTAAAGTTCTTCGCCCTTCTAAGATTTGGGTTGTCAGTTAGAATTTTCGTTTAAAAGGCATTGTTTTTGTTATGTTGGTTGAAAATTTAAAACTGAATATTTTGCAATATTATTTAAATATGTATTGCGTGTTGTAGCATGTCTTCACCATAATATCTTTGGGGGCCTTCTATTACATTTTGTTGTTGGTTTTACGAACTGTAGCTACTCAGTACTTTCAGTTTCATCTGGCAGAGGAGGCACTGCACTACACGCAAACTTAAAGAATTTTGTTATGAAAAAAACAAACATTGAAATTAAATTTTTGAATTTCCCGTTTTATTTCCAGATTAATATGTGCGGGAACTTGTGAGAGATTTGGGAGAAATATTTGAGGAATGTTTAGAGAACATTTGGAGGAACAATTTGGAGATCATTTGGAAACATTTGGGAGAACATATAGGGTACGTTTGGGAGACCACGGAAGAATGTTTGGGGAAACATTCGGGATTTATGGGTACATCTGGCATAACTTTTGGGTCATGTGGGAAGTTGTTATGAACATGTAGATCATGTGGAGAACATGCGGAGATACATGCCGGGGTGCATGTTAGAAACATGGGAACATGCATTAGAAATAGTGGGGGACATGCGAGAGAACACATGGTGAGCACCTAGGGAACTTGTAAACATGCGGGAGAACATGTGAAGGGAGCTTGTAGAGAA